TTCAAAGCTTTCCATCCGACGAACTTATTGCCATGACCTAGAATCATTCTTCTACGTGTTTGTTGTAGGATGTATAGAGTACGAATTTGTACCTTGGGGGATCCCTCCAAATCTGGACGAATGATGTGAGGGTTGAATTAAGACTTGTCTCTCGAATAAACATTATAATATTTCACGTCACAAACGGCTTCTCGATGTGTTCACGCCAAGTTTCAAAGGACTAAAGGAGCTAGCCAAGAATCTTAGAACTATTCTATTAAAGGGTGGAAACTTTTTCGCAACATCTGAAGATCGTGGACCAATGTATAGTTGAATGATCTAGCTTTTGACGAAACTATCGAAGACATAAGAGGTAAGATATATTTATGACCTCATGAAAGTATAGATTTTTCTTGCTCGAGCTTTGCTGACAAACTGTTCACTTTTAGCTGGAAAAATTATGAATCCAACCTTCATAGCACATCGGTATCAGACCGCCCTTCGAGCTATTCTTCGCCACAATTTGGTACGAGAAATACCCGTTAAGTAGAGATAACACCATTTCGTACTCAGTTAAACCGTGGATTAATTACCGAGTGTCAAGAAGAGGAACATTAATGCTCTAAATATTGGCTAGATCGAGATATTGAACTTTAAATATACAATTATCCGAATCAATGAGACATGGCTAAGGATGCTGTGGTATCATTTTTACTGAATTGCAGAATATCAACATTACTTATTTTCACGAACCTCATCAGAGGAATATTTTACATAAGTTAGTTTATGATGATGATATTTTTATTTTGACCGGGTACTACCCCAATACCCAGAGGGCATGGCACGGGTAGTCTAGATCTATGGGACTCTTCGCTACCTATATTTTTGTTTCATGGAAACTAGGAACGCAGAACAAAAAAAAACAAACAATTAAATCACCAATTCTAAGGTGCTAACGCCCTGCACTACACCTTAATTCTCGTACCACACCAACCGGTCCCAAGGTGCATTTCTGTTGATCTTTTGACCCCCTGTTTATGATTCATTCTTGCTGTAACATTTTGTTACAGTTAAAAAGCGCCGGAATATCTGCCATCATTCTTTTCCTATCATGACCCTTATAGTCGGTCGGGTTTCCTTCGTTTCCGTCCGCCATTTCTGGAAAGCCAGGCGACATTCTGCAAAATTCCATGGCCGTTTTTTCTCGGCCGCATTTGCAGAGCGTATCTACATTCTGGTGTTGGAACCGTCTGTGATAGCTGACGAAGTCACCATGCCCAGTCCTTGATGGGCATACCACCGTCTCATTGCAGCAAGGTAGAGCTAACTCCGGAGGGCGTTTTCTCCGCATCAGTAGGTCCAGATCTTCATACCTACTTGATCTGTTCTTAAGCCACCATTCTTCCGCAAGTTTTTGTACCCGGATATTGACTTGGCGTTTGAGAGCTGCAAAAGTCAAAACTTCGTGAGTTTCCTCCCAGATGCACTCTGGTCCCGGTATGTTCCCATCCCGATTATTTGACGCAAGGATTGCCTTTGCCATCGCATCGGCCTTTTCGTTTCCTGGAATGCCGCTATGTCCCGGAACCCAGTCGACCGCTATCGCTGGTCGAGTCTTGCGTAGTTCCCAGAAATTTATGACCTCTACTTGCGAGGAATTTATTCTACTATTTTGAAGGGCTCTGACCGCCTTATAATTTTCGAGGAGTACCTTAATTTCTATACTCCCTTTAATTTTTAATGCCGCCTCTAGATTTCAAACTGCCCCCACAATTTGCGCATCAAAAATCCCAGCTCCAGGAAGAAAATTACCAACGCTCGCTAGGATTTCTGTATCCCTATAGATGGCGTAGGCATAGGCTGAATATGCTGGGCCGGTAGATGACCCATCAGAGTAGATACACAGCGTACCTGCGGGAAGATTTCTAAGCCACAGCTTAATCTGCTTCGCCTTTTCCTCTTTGTCGCATTTGACCCCGGCTGTAGCAATCGCGGTCCGCGGTTTATAAAGCTGCCCAGGACTTTCTGATGCCGGCAGGCTGAGGTTCCCATTTTTTAGACGTGTTAAGTATCGCTCTGGGACCCTGAATACACGTTCTTTCTGCCCCTCTCGGAGTTTGAGTCGTTTTATAGCCTCCTTGGGTGTTTCAACCACCCTTTTAAACAATGGGTGATAGCTATCGAGTCGGCGGATTCTGGCTACAATTGGGAGCTGTCGCTGTAGCATTATTTCTGCAGGTAAGATCCCTGATTCTTGGTGCAGAATTATATTTGGTGTAGTCCGCCACACTGATAGTGCAGCTCGAATTGCAGTCAAAATAGTCCTATCTGGTAGCTGAAGGTATCATCCAACACCCGTACTTACTTTCTTGTCTCGTATCGTCGTGATACAGGTGAGTCCAGGCCACCATGCTTCTGCACCATACATTGCCGTACTAACTACACATGCATTTACCGCACGTATTTATGGTCCCGGAGCCGCACCTCGATGGACCCTGTTTATGCTGCGTATGAAGTGGAATAGTCGCTGTGCCTTACTAAACCATTCCTGAACGTGCCGTCTGAATGATAGTTGAGAATCAAGCCAAACTCCGAGCCATTGTATATGCGGAGAAGGCATAATAAGCTGTTCCCCAACCCTACCGCTAGGTCGGATGAGTCTAATTTCTTCTTTCGTCCACCCCCAATGATCAGGAGCTCAGACTTGGAAGGGTAGAATCTAATCATATGTAATGAAGTTAGTTGGACTATCCTGTCTACTTCGACCTGGACAGCCTCAACAGCTTCGCAAGGACTTTTACCGACTCGAACAATGGCGATGTCGTCTACATATCCGAATCCACAGCTTGGAGTGCCATCTTCGTGTAGAATCGAGATGTATAACATGAATAGAAGTGGCGAAAGTGGTGATCCTTGAGAGACACCGCACTCAACAAGCTTCTCATCTGTTACGCCTTCTTAATGTCTTACCAGGACTTTTCGTCTTTTCAGAAACGATTCTACCCAGCGATAGAGTGATAGCAGCCGGCCCTGACTTCGCATTCGTGCGAGCAGCCGATTGTGTAGCACTGCATCGAAGGCAACTTGTATGTCCATCTTGACCACAGCTGTGAATTTGTTCGATCTCATCGCAGCTTCTGCATCATGTGTAACACATGATCCAAGTCAACTGCTGAGCGTCCTGGTAGTGCTCCGAATAGTTGGCAAGTTACTGCCTTGTGCTTTAGCGCAAGCCAGGACATCCATTTAGCTATAAGTCTTTCCAGTCTCTTGCATAAGCTGGAGAGTAACGATATGGGTTGCCGTCCTTTTGGGCTGGAGAGATCACGTCCCATTTTGGGAAGAAGGACAACTTCAGCTAATTTGAACGGCGTAGGAAAGTACCCCAAGTTTAAACATGCCTTGAAGAGGTCCCTAACATATGTTCCAATTGTACTCCAGCAAGGTTTGAGGAGTCGAACGGTGATTTTGTCATATCCCGGAGCCGTTTCTTTACTTCTGTTCGGATTAGGTCCTGGTCAAAGATGTCTAACCTAATTGTGCTATGTTGCAGGCTACTGTTACAATTATGCATGGGGTCACTGTCAGGGTTGTGAATAGTTTCGGTTTGGTGTGGGTTGGTAGATTGAAACCTGAGCGTGTTGCATAGTAGTCAGACATGCAACTCGAGTAGGATATGCTCGGTAAACCTTAGCCCCAAACTGATGATACGAATCAGGTTTTACATGCTACTTCCTGTATGGCTAGCGTGGTTGGAATATGGGAAATTTACCTGTACATAGATAGAGACGTTGTAGCCCTCTGATAGTTGGGACAAGTCTTCTACAATATTATATCGGAATCAATACTAGCCTCTCATTAAGCAATCTCATGAATTATTCCAATGTCTGTGATGACAGACATACATAAACAATGTCGACAACAAGTTTAAAGTCAATAAGTTATGAGCTCGCGGGAACTATCCATTGCATTAAGTCAAATATTTCTATAGTCACTCTTGTTGATGTGGAAACTCGAGGGACAAAAGACGATTGGCGAGTGGTCAAAAGCTGGCGTGGACTCAAATCATAAGATTCTAAACTAAAGAGAAAAGTATCTAGGAGGATATGAATCTGTATATATTTACATAAGAGTTCAACTGTTGAAATAGATTTGCCAACACGAAACCTCCTGTCCCTCATTGCCTACAACCCAAGGGCTTTGCATGAAAACCAATATCCATGACAAACCTTTTGTATCATGATTTGTCACACACAAGACTCGTGTGTGTGAAACTAGTCGTTGGAATTCCTGGATTGACCCTGTGTCGGCTTACCAACTATTGAACCGACGACCACGTGGCCACGAAAATGTCGGGGCGTCACAGTTGAATTTATTAACCAAATTTCACGAGGGAAAGTGAAGGTTTTGAGAATTGAAGGCGAACCAATAAATCAACAGGTACCTTACTTTGCTGCAAATTTTCTGTGTGAAACGGATATAATGGCGAATCATACTCTGGCTCATGTGAAAAACGACCTGAATATCATGAAGACAATGCGACACTTTAGAGATTGCCCAAGGGGGGGCTAGGCAGCGATTGTTTGATGTGATTTATTGACGAGTCCAGCAATTTTTATAATACATGTCTACACTTTGGGATGTATTTTGCATGGAAAAAATTAACAATAAACCTGTTCGAAAACAAATCACAAATTGCTGCATCGAAAAAATAAGAAGAACTTCAAAAATCCTCTAACCTTTCAGAAACCGATGATAAGCACCCATAACAATTCTAAAAGATCAGCCAGACTTATGAAATCGATATTTGGCAAAATACTGGCTATATAAATAATTTATCGCAAAATAGGTATTTTACATCTGCAATATTACAAAGAATTCCATTCTATATCAGGATGCCAGTCGTATTTTTTGTCGCTGCAAACACTTTTCAAAAATTTCGGATATGCTCAATCAGGTTTATAAAGTTAGATAAAATATTTAAAAAAAACATTTTAAAAAAAAACAAAATTTTGGAATGTATGTCTTTTACTAGGCGCTTAGTGCGGTGCGTCTCTTTGTTGCTGAGTCATTATTTTGATGACTCAGCCGGTACCGCGATCTTGGCGTTTGCGGTGCTCATAGATAGAGAACAAGAACAACAAGAATCCATACCTCAACTTTCGTACCTTCCGTTTTGCATTAAACCAACCTTATGTGTACGTAAAATAAGGCCGATCGACACTGATCAGTAGACCACAGGCGACTACAGAACAGCAAGATTGAAGAGACTGCATTTCCTTTCGACACTCTCCTCTGGGAAGAAGACTAGATCTCCTGTGTAAGCCACGACAAGTGGAGGAACCTGCAAGTGCTAATACATCGCGAAATCGTATGCTCGACAGCTAAGCGCGGAGATAATAGCCCCTTCGATTTGACCGAGAAAGATCAGTTTACCGGTTGAAGCAGCATTTCCCAGCTGATTGATTTGTGTCATCCACACGAACAACAATCATTAAGTTTATCCATTGAACTTGTGTAGACCAGCCCATTCTAAACCCAAATCTAGAACACCACCGGCACCGACTCTATCTTTTTCTATTCATCAGTTTACACCACAATTTACTTGAGTTTTTCCTGCGCCACTTTGGAATAAACATCCGCCTTTTTGCGCGTCACTTATTGCAACATACTTTCCTCTTTTTTTAACATTTCATAAGTAATCTCATCATCTCTCGCTCTTTAGGAATGGCTAGTTCACAGGACCTTCCCGGCCAGAAGTCATTGTCTGAAAATCCACCAGAAACGCTCTACACACCAAAGGTAGAGGGATTATCTTCTAACATGGATTTGGATCACCAGGAGAAAGAATTGCTCGATCTAATTGAAGGAACAACTGTGGCATGCAGGAAAAGGGTCCCCAAGTATTGTCACTTGAACACTGCAACAAAGAAGCTATTCTTAACAACGACTCCTCTTCTATAGCCATCACTTTGTTTGCTATGGCATTTATTGCAGACTGGGATTCAATCCCAGAGATGTACAGCCCCTTAGCAATATACAATGAACTTATAGACTACTTTGGTCATTGGACAGAAACTATGTTTGAAAAAATCTCTAGTCCATACAAACAAACCTTTGGTGAAGCGTTTAAAAGACGCGGCTTCAAGAAAGATCGTTCAAGCGTGGGCAAATGGATCATTAAGATATGTGATGACGAAAATTTTATTGCTCCAGATGATGAGCACAATACACCCTCACAACCTCCTGTCACGGACTGGCCCTGTAATTTTGTGTAGCACCTGGCAAACCGTGTCATGAGTGTACTCAAATCACAGTTAATGCGTTGCAATAGTTACAGTGTTGCGATAGCAACAGTTACCACCCAAGATACCAGTTAGTTGCTATGACACGGATGTAGGCTATGGCATCACTGGTTATGGTGACTGCCCTCATGTACTTAAGGGAGCTCTGAGACTGTATTTGTACTGTAGCTTCTTGTCTTGTAATTTACTTACTCTCTTGGCCTCATCTTCGTCCTCGTCCTCGTCTTCATCTCAGTCCTTGTCCTAGTCTCCGTCCTCGTCCTAGTCCACCGTCCGCGAGCCCTGACACCTCAACCCCAGCCATCTTTACACCCCCCCACACATCAAACACCACTACCACCTTACTTACATCGTTACCAAGAGCATCCATCATATCCTTTAACCTCTCAAACCCCTATGCAAAATTCTCAGTCCTCACTCCCACCACGGGCTGAAGCACGTCAATCTATCGAGACTGCCCAGCAACATCAAGTAACAGTGTCAGGATCTCTTGGGACTTGATTACTTAACTTGAACTGGAGGCGCTAAATCTTGGGCTCTTGATGATAAAGAAAATATAATAACAATAAAGACTTGGTTCTTGATTCTTGGGTATCTAGGGAATAATACAAGACTGAAAGCTGGAGAGCTTTCGACATGAAGATACCTCAGCTACTTATACTACGACACTATCTACTACAGACTATAGTAATCTAGTTCCAGCCCGATTTCTGTCGAACTCCTGAGAGTAACCTAGAATCTGATTGAAGCCCATTGAACTGGTAAGAGTACAAAATACCATCCCGAAACATCTAGAAACTAATTGCCAGAGTAGCTTACAATTCCATCGAACTAGAACTTGTCTAGAGGGATACCAGCCGAAGCTAGGATCAGACTCTACCTCAACACCATGAATCTATCCATGACATAGCAGTAGCCATATAGTCTTAGAGCCAGAGGTTGGCAGGATACCATCTCCACATCAGTCAGTCTGTGATAGCATATCATTCAACAAACAATAAAGATAAACAAGATGCTGTTTTAGATTTAGTTGAGGTTTTTCGAAATTTCACTGAAACAGGTAGAGCTAATTTAATCCAAATTGACAAGACTATCTCCAAGCCAACAAAACCATCAACACCAGAGATGCAAATACTAACCACAACATCACCACCTAACAGAATTTTACCAATCATATCCTATGCAGAGATTCTAAAAAGCAATGCACCTTGAGCCCCAACAATAAATTTATCTAGGACTAGCAATTCAATGAAAGTATCGGGGAAATCAGCTGTCCAAGAGAATAAAACTACAGCAACCAAAGAGGCTGAAGCCGTGATACAACCATTCATATTATCAGCAGCAAAAATTACGAAAAATTCTGCATCAGCTCAGGTACACAATGACACTGTGATCACTTTGGTCACAAAACCGGGCACAACTCTTCCAAACTACCAGTCTTTCACAATAAGGGAAAGTATCAATAATATCCTAGGAAAAAGGGCCATTTCAAGGGTACATACCTCCATCAAGGGAATTGTTGTCCTTACATGCATGGACTCTTCTCCATCAGAACTCCTACTTGACCAAGATAAATGGGAATCTGTATTTGAAGGATGGCCCATTCAAAATGCCCAAAAGATTAGCCATTGGCCAAAAGTAGTGGTACATGGGGTTCCCACCTGTGTTCCAATTGTGGCAATCAATGAAGAAATAGAAGTTTATAATAAAGGTATTAAAACTCAGGGTCAGCCAAGATGGCTCAGCCGGACTTATCAACAGAGAGTGAAAGCTTCCTTAACTTTTTCAGTTACAAATGATACCAAAAAAGAACATCTTTTGAAGGCAGGTGTCCTTATTGGAGGTCACTACCTAAAGGTAGTTGAATATCTGTTGCGATTTCATAGTAAGAGGAGCAGAAAGTATAGCTCAAAGATTATTGTTTCCATTGAAGTTCTAAGCTACATGTAAGACGCGAATTACTTGCGCATATCCTAGAGTTAAAGTGGGTATGCGAACAAAAATTATTACAGTAAAAAGTCTTCAGCACAGCTGACCACAAAACCATTGCGCGGGGAATAAAACAGTGCCGACCCTGCACCATTAACGCCATCCTATTTGTCGCAAAGTAAACGTGACCATATCTCTCACTGCATTTGCATATAGTATCATATTACCCCGCACATGCAAATGTATGAGAGAATATCTCAACAGCGAAAAGAAACTAAAGTATAGAATACAGGATGTATTATGCAGCATGCAGGAAAGTTGTTCATATTTGCAAGGAATGCCAATTATTGTAAGAAATGTGGTAAATTCCAACATGCGCCAGCCTGCTCGAACCGCGGATTCACCATGCACTCGGCATTCGAGTGTAAAGCAGCCTCTAAATGTCGAAACTGCGGAGGCCCCCATCAATCTAGCAGTCGAGACTGTCTTGCTCGTCCCAACAGGTCTGGCCCAGTTACCATGGAGCAACTTGTGACTATTTGCCAAGCTGGCCAACGCGAGTACCAGGCCGTCGCTCGAGCCAAAGCTGTTACCAAGGCTGCAGAAGCTGCCACAGCTGCCGCTAGATCAACAAGACCAACTTCTCCAGCTGCTGTTAAGTACATATTGTTGATATACGCAGCAATGACTGAGGGTTCGGGCTTTGGGACCTTGAATCCTGAAGAAGCTTTGTAAAGGGCGCCTTACAGGCCCCTTCCCGCCCCCCTCCTACACTAAATTTTATGTCAATCAATGCAGGCAGGGGAGGCTCAACACACAACATTGCGCTATCTCGAGCTTACGAGCCAGGTGTGGATGTTGTGTTGATTCAAAAACCGTGTTGGAACAAACAAACAAAGGAAACAAAGTCACACCCAGGCTACCTCTGTCATACACTGTACAGAGGTGTGGATGTCAGACCGAGGGCGGTGACTAACACTTGAAAGAACGAAAAGATGATATTGTCAAAACAGATTTTCCCTTATCATAGGTTGACTGGTGACTACTGCTGGGTACTGGTTAATGGAATCACATTTTTTAACCTGTACAAGGCCCCTAACAACCAGACTGCTGTCCGCACGCTTGTCGACTGGAAACTGTCTGCGAGGTCCATTGCAGCCGGGGACTTCAACTCAGTGCATGCTGCCTGGCAACCAGGAGAAACTCGGCCGTATGGACAGGGTGATGAGATAGAGAGGTGGGCAGAAGATCACAACCTCACTTGCCTTATAATTGGATAGCCGACTCATAAAGCTGGCAATACTCTAGATCTAGCCTGTACCAACATATCTAGAGCCCGGGCCTGGCTCGATCGAGAGGAATGTATGACTAGCAACCATCTTCCGATCCGCGGAATTATACCTGTCGTAAATGTCACCAAGGAACCGGCTGCATTAAAGATCAGAGTACCCAAAAAAATCTGCCCAATTTTGCGCGTGCCGTTACAAAATGGGTACATCCAGCTATTGACTTGAGCACAACAGAAAAAGTGGACGAGTACGCCCAAGAAATATGCTTCCATCTCTCGGAGGCCATCAAAGCGACTGGAACCCGAGCCAGAAAAGAAAACAACAAATCTGCGCCGTGGTGGACTCCTATGTGCAAATCCGCACACGCCAAATACCGAGCCGCAACATCACCGACACAGCGGGCCACTTGCGCAAAGAAGCTTCGAGCGACCATCACAGCCGCCGAGAAAGAATATCAGACAAGCCAAGTGGAAGCAATGACATCACCGTCCGATATCTTCAAGCTGATGCGCTCGGTAAACCATAGACAGGCAAAAGCCCCTCCGCCACTAAATCACAACAGAAAGTTCATCATGGACCCATTAAAGCGAGCTACCATTTTCCGAGACGCCCTTCCTGCACGCCACCAACAATAGGAAGACCTTCCGCCATGCAATACTCCAAGCAATAATCGAATAACTTGTGAAGGTGAAATCTCAGACGAGGTAGTGC